TTTGCTTATATTTTCTGATTAAGAACTGGAATGGGTAAAGTAATATTTACTGACATTTAATTCTAATAATGTAATATATCTGCGACTTAGGCTGACTTAATTAAGAAATAATAGATTATTTTTGTGCTTCGCACTCAGTAATTATAATAAATATAGCTAGAATTATAGAATTATATATATAGAATTATAGATTGTTTAAGATTTCATTTACTAATTGACAGGCTTGTTTTTGGAGGGATTTATAAGAGACTTCAGTAATAGATTTGCCTTCGTTTTGGATTTGTTTATAGGAGGTTTTTTCTAACAAATAATTCTCTGAATATTTATAGTCTGTATCCTTTAAATATTCTTTTATGGCTTCGGCTTCTTTGAGGGTGGAGAGGCGAGCGAGGGCAAATAATAACTTTTTTGGAGGAATTCCTGCTTTTTTGAGGGCGTTAAATTCTTTGACTGCTGGCATTAGATCGTCATTACTGGCTCCGACTGGTTGAATTATCAGATCAGAATGGGTGGCGATTTCTTTGGTGGCTTGGCTGGTGCGAGCGGGGCCGTCGATGATGATTAGATCGTATTTGCTGGTTAGAGGTCAAATTTCCTTAATTGAATTAAAGACTTGACAGTTGATTTTCTTATTTAATTTGCTTCATTCATGGCTGGTGGATTGTTGAGGGTCGCAATCTGCTAGTAAGGTTTTTATTTTTTGTTTGGTTGTTTCAGCGGCTACGGCTCGGGCGAGGGTGGATTTTTCCACTCCTCCTTTTTGACTGATGAATGCGATTATGGTCATATTTTTTAGTCGATAGGATGAATATTTCTAACTCATAAATGATCAGTAGTTCCATCCTTAAATCAGAAAAAGAGTCGGTATTTCTTCCTGTGATAAGTAGTCTCAAAACGATAAACCTCTCGACCCCAACGAAGATAACTGTCCGGCAAAGGCTTTAATCGCTGACGACCATTTACTTTATTCTGAAAAATATCCAAGACTAGTTCCTTAGTAATTCACTCACGGCCAGGCTTTTCTCAGGGATGACTGGTAATAGTGGTTTCTTTAATAGTCCATTTTTTAAAAGTAAAAAGGGATAAGCAAGAATAAGTTCACCTTAATTCTTTATCCGCCTCCTCTTCTCTAAGAAATTTAAACAACTCGGACATGCGGCGATTTAGGCTTAGTTTGCCTTAGGATAACTTGAATTTGGGTTGGTGAGAATAATTTATTAGTATAAACTATTAGACTATCCAAAGTAAAATTTTCAATTCAACCAAAAAGAATTTGCAGAGTTTGTTCTTTACTTAGTCCTAATTTTTTGGCCAATAATTCATCACTCAGATTATTGTCTTCCTGATAACTTAATATTTTTTGACAAAGTTCATACTTAGCCTTTTGTAAAGAAGAAGGATTTTCTGGTAAATCTTTGGCTACTCAGGGATAATTAGGTTGTTCGATTTCCTTTAAATATTCTTTGAAAGTTTTTTTTTGGTTAGTCATATATAATATTTATTAGTTTTATAATATTATGATAAACATAATATTACTTTTTATTTTTCTGTTTTCTCATCCGGGCAAAAAGAATTGCCAAGGCTACACTTCCAATTCCAAACATTAACAGTGGGAGTAATCATCCTTGATTATCCTTATTTTGACTGTTAGTTGGGCTGGTTGGACCCGAAGAATTACTGTGACTATTTCTTCTCTCTTGTTGTTCTCGATTTAATTTTAATAAATTTTCGACTAAACCTTGATAAGACTGATTATAACCAGCGGAATTTTTTAGATTATTAATCTCTTGTTCACTAACTTGTTCCTGATTATTAATTTTACTTTCTAGATTATTATAATTTTCTCATCACTGATGATCCTTTCTTTGCCAATCCTCATAATTATCATTATTATTTTCTTGGTTCTTTTCCGATTCAGACGGTTTGGGTTTAAAATTTCCCTGCTCTATTTGTAGTATAATTTCCTGATGTTGCTGCTCCTTTTCTCTAATTTGGCGATCTAATTCCTCAGTTTCTTGGCAACTATTACATTTATCCGCACTCATTAATTTAGTCCGATAAACAAACCGACCGCCATTATTACGCACTTCTCTTTCTCAATTACCTTTATTTATGCTATTTAAGCACTGCTGGCAAATACTTTCTCCTTGCTTATTCAATTCTTTTTCTAATTCTTGGAAATTTTTATAACCTTGCCGTTGATTATTTTTTTGTTCTTGGTTCTGTAAATTTTCGGCTACTCGTTGCTTATATTGCGTAAAAGCCTTTTCACAACAAGGGGCACAGACATAATTAATATTATTATCCCAATGTTCGGTCAATTTAAAAACACGACCCCCTGCCGTAAATTGTAAATCATATTCACTTTTGGGTTTAACTGTCAAAAATCTTTTCTTACATTCTACGCAATCATTGTGAAAATAATCATGGCTTGTGCAAGAACTTCGACAGATATCACATAAAGATTTTGCCATAATCGCGACTTTTAATAATAATAATAATAATAATAATAATAATAATAATAATAATAATAATAATAAATTACTATATATAATAAACCTTAACTAAAAAAGACCCACTAATCCAGAAAGCCAATAACTTTCTGAACTAGTATATTATTATTTTAGTAAGTTAGGGGATAATTTTAGTTAAATTGTTTTATATAATTAACTAATTAGTTAATCAACTATCTACAATGAAAACTAAGAAAATAGTAAGTAAAAAATCCGCCAGTGAGGGTAAACACAAAGTAACTAAAAACCAGCACCCAGGGAATATTTACCGCTCTCGGGTAAGAAAGAAGACTCTCACTTTCACCCAACTAGAACAATTAATCCACCAACTCAAAAAAACCGGTCAAAAGCAAAAAGCCCAAAACTACCGCCTCCTCTACCGCCAAAAATTAAATGCCTGATCCGCCGCCTGACAAGCCGGTCGGCAAAAGTTATTAGCCAACCAACAAAAAAGAAGGCAAAAAAAACAAGCTGCTCTCAGGGTTCAACAAGCCAAGCAAGCAGCCAAACAACAAAAACAACAACGCCTAAAAGAAATCTACTCTTACTTCCGTCAACAATTAAACAAACAAGACCCCAAACAATCCCC